AAGCCACTTCTGTAAATCCAATATAAGAAAATTATCCAAGTCACTCTCTTGGTTTGTTATTTGTATATCCCTTTTAATTATTAAGACATCAGCTGGTTTCTTTTGTCTGTCCAGTGTAACATCTTTTTCCACTTTCAAATCAGTCTCGATCTGGTCAGGTAAAACTTGTTCCTCTTCCATAACTTCTTTTAAACACAGCCTATCTATAGAGGCAGACAGTCTTAAAATTAACTTCTGGGTCCATTGTTCAAAAATATCCTTCAGTATGTCTAATGTTAGAATATTTTGCTTCATTCTGTATTTGTAAGTTGAGTTTGAGTGTTCTTCTCCTTTAATTGTAATCTTTAGTTCCTTCTTGTTCCCTCTAGTGTCCAATTTTTAAAATCTTTTTTTTTTTAAGAATTCAAAACAAAACCATTTTCCCATGGGAAGGATTCTTTATAATTAATTCCAAAATCTTATTTCGAATTTCTTTTGACCCTTAGTCTATTTGTAAATAATTAATTCCAAAATCTTATTTCGAATTTCTTTTGACCCTTAGTCTATTTGTAAATAGAGGCAGACAGTCTTAAAATTAACTTCTGGGTCCATTGTTCAAAAATATCCTTCAGTATGTCTAATGTTAGAATATTTTGCTTCATTCTGTATTTGTAAGTTGAGTTTGAGTGTTCTTCTCCTTTAATTGTAATCTTTAGTTCCTTCTTGTTCCCTCTAGTGTCCAATTTTTAAAATCTTTTTTTTTTTAAGAATTCAAAACAAAACCATTTTCCCATGGGAAGGATTCTTTATAATTAATTCCAAAATCTTATTTCGAATTTCTTTTGACCCTTAGTCTATTTGTAACTTTCTAAAATCAACATTTTAATCACCCTTTTGCTGTTTATTCCTATATATTTTAAAGTCCTTAAACTTGTATTTAAAACTTCTTTCACTAAGAATTGAAAAAAACTCACCCGGTGCTATAAAACCTGTCAATCCAAAGGTTCCTAATAGCTGAAAAGCAGTTAACAAGCAATTTCTGAAAGTGATTAGAAAAGTGATTAGAAAATTTCCCCACAGAAGTATGAGAACACTATCCTTTCAAAGACACCGACTGCAGTTTGAGAAAGATGACTATTTCCTCATCTCCCAGAGCTCTAAACCCACCAGAGACTACTGTCTTGTGGTCTCCTTGCAAGGAGCAACTGTCTGGAGCACTTGTGGGTGATCTCAAGTCCTCTCTTTGTCTGGAGGGGAATTATCGAAGAGCTGGTCTACTTGCCTGCTCTTCATTCTGCCACAGTCACTGTCTTCAGTCTGCCATTTCTTCCCTGGAAGCACCTGCATCAATGTTTTTGAAGTAACCTAGCTCCCAAAGTAGCAAAGGATAACTTTTAATCCTTTCCAATCTCTTGATACTGTAGAAGTATTTCTTGTTGTAGGCCTTTTGTTGTTATCTTTTTCCTTTCATTTGAGCTTTTAGGGGATTAATCCTGTACTATATAGAGAAAACACCCTGGATATCCAGAAGCTCTTCTCTTTCTTCTACATTATTAGAATATGGAGTCATTGCATATTTCTTAAACCATCCTGTAAATCAGATCATTAAAATATGTAAATTTACAACACATTGCAGCATTTTACATCAGTGAGGGGTATTTTCCATAATCTTAGATATTTTTTATGATCAGAAAATAGTATGTAATATTCATTGCCAGTGCTAAGTTGTAAATGCAGTACATTACACAGCAGGGCATGGACTCTTTATGGAACTTTGTGGGTTGGTACAAATATTCTTTCCAAATGACCATCAAATCACAGATGACATCTGCAACCACAGACTGAATTATAAAAATCTTAGATCCAGTAATCCACTCTATTACAGTGGCACAAATACATTTTTATAAAATAAGATACATATACATTTTCATGATTTCTACACAATACCCCACCTTACACCCAGGAATCATATCCAGGTTCAGAGACTTCTAAAAAACACATAATGTTTCTAGGTACCACTAAAGTCCAAAGGTAGAGTCTATGAGATCTTTACGTGTCCAAAGGTAGAGTCTATGAGATCCATAAAGGAAAGTAAGAAAGCACATACAGGGACAGAATAAGTATAAGAATCACAAAACCTGAAATTTAACTTCATAATACTATTATGATGTTGAGCCATGGATTGATGTCAATACTCTGGATTAAGGTATGAGATGGCCCACACACCAAATCATTAGGTACATTTCTGTCTATAAACTACACAGATAGAATTGCTGATCTGTTGTTACAAAATACTGGTATGAAGCATGGATCCTCTATATTTTTACAGAAGATTCCACTCAAAATATCCATTAAGTTACAAATCACTTCCATATCTGTGCTTCTATGAGGCAAAAACTTCATAACTCTGATTCACTGATGTTCATGAATCTTATTCATTCAGGCATGGACAAATCACATAGTATGTTCATATCCTTAAACCAAGTTATAAAAATCTCACAGTGTATACTTTACATTGCAAATATGGCACAAAATTATACTCCTTTTATGAAATCATAGACTCTCATCCATGCTGTGCCATAACACATGAATCCTCTTGATTTTTACAAAAAAAAACTCCATAAAGAACAATCGTCATTGTAACTGTTTTAAGCTGTGGCTCCTCTGGCTTTTATAGGACTTCAGAGGCTGTTCCCCTCCCCGCCCCCGCCCCCCAGTGTGTGGG